CTTTCTAATTTTTTTTCGGCCGGCATGGCCAGGTGGTTAGGGTGCTTGACTCGCAATCACTTACAAAACATATCACCACTGAAACTACTCCCAAAAGAGACAAGATGTCTGTGTGTGTGTCAATCGTCAATGAATTTATCAGTAAGCACCTACATAATCTCCTTAAGTTATCCACATAAGGTACCAAGTTATCTTAGTGCCTTCACATTTGAGCTTTGAACTCAGCTCTCCACAGGGTCGAATCTGTAGCTCAGTCTCGCTAACAACTGTGCCCCAGTCAGTGAGTCTTTTCTCTTCTAAATGCTCTAGGATTTCAAGTGATGGGCCATCTAAACTCAGCATCGGGCATTGCGCCGTGTATTCCTGAGTCTACCCATTTCAAGCATAAACGTTTGATGAAATGTCCAGTTCCTCTTGTGCCGTTGTCTTGAACACTGCGGGTTTTATTTGTTTACTTCACCACCAAATAATGTTCACAGGTTCTGACTACAACATTTTCTCCCCAAATCTGGCCAAGATATTCATGAGAGTTTCTTATCTTCTTTTTGACGACTGGAGGGATAAATATCTTGACGAATGTGGCGTTCTCGGGTTAAGTTCACCTTGAAATGACTCGGTGCACGAAAACGCGCCCCATCATTGACCATCGTAATGACACGACGTATGATATCACGCTTTGTCATCACATCCCATGTCCACGTCTTTGGAGATGTTTTGTGTAAAAATCTGAAACAAACCAAACTATATAGCTAAAATAGGAGTTAAATCCCTGCAGTAGGCACAGCACAAGATAGCCCAATATGAAGCTTTGTGCTCAGCAAAACAAACAACAATTAATGTCGTAAAAATTGTTTTGACAAAATTCCTTTCTTTTTATTCTGAATTGAAAATGCTTTTATAAGTTAAAAAACAAAAACTAAATTTCAATATCATATAACGACTGAACATAATTCTTTAAATGTATTCCCAAGTTTCATAAGGTATTTTTGACCTTCGATATAATATTCTATTATTTTGTGTTAATGTAATTTAAAAATGTTCTAAGGATAGAGAAAGCAAAGTAATAATAAACCATTTTGTAGACTGTGCTATAAAGTTTAGAATTATAAATTATAATGTTTCGATTCAATAATGTGAGTCCTTTTTACGCTCACAGAGGCAGATGATTATACAACTGTTAAGTCACATTTGTTTTCGACTTCTTAGTTTTCTACAAAAACGAAGAAAAGAAACAAATTAAAGAAATAAATAAAAATATATTACATTATTTTTGTCCATTTTCACGTATAACCTCGTTTTCACGCTTCTTCTTTGTGATGTCACCATTTCCGTGCTTTCAAGATAGTGGACCCCGTACTGGAATTGTGATTGTTAAGTTTGAAACTGTAATTAGGGTATCGAAACATACAATTTCAGAAGAAAGAAATTATTATTTAGTATTTTTTTTTAAAGCTATGGTGAGTAGTTTAAAGTAGTGTAACATCGATGTTGTTTTGTAATTACCTTACTTTGTATTAATTTAAACTGGAGTGAAAGATATACTGTTAGTGTTAATTGTGCTGTATCATTTACTGATTTAGGTCTATGATATTCGCTTATTGTTAATGTTATTCGAGTGTATACTGTGGTGTAACTTGTAACTATAACTTGTGTAACTGTAGCAGTGTAAGATTGGTTATCTGTCTAGCTACTACTACTTCTATGTTAGAATTACACTTAGTTGAAACAGATTTTCACGCTACATTATTGATCGGTTTCTGGTTCATCAAAAACTGAACTATAACATTACACTTATAGTAATATAATTTTTAGTGAATACTGGTATTGGTAAGTAAAAACAATCTTGGGTGATTCTTTCAAATACTTTTGGCAACCCAAGAAGTAAAACAGATATGCAAGTAGATGCAACCATTGAATAAAGTTAAAGTGTAAAAGGAATCATGTTTGGTATAGTTATGGAAAAGTCCATAGGCTAAAATGAGTAAATTTATATACAAATTGTGAAAAGAATTGTTGGATCTGGGAATGTTAGAAAAATTGAAGAAATAAAGTGGTCAGCAGAATGAAGTGCAGAGTTGGGAGCCTAGTAGAATTTGTCAATCATTGGGCTCCTTGAATCTAGGTAGTAAAGACAGAGGTAAAATAAGTCAATCAGGAAAAAAAGACAAAGAAAATTACACACACACATGGAAACAAAGTTAAAAACAGTATCAACTAAGCCAAGCCCATGCTAATTATTGAAACAGTGTAAACCAAATGAGTTAATAATTAAGCTAGTCCTTGACAAATATTTTCAGGTCTAGGAGCCAGGTGCCAAAAACACTCGAAATACACGTTAAGATTTCGTAAAGGTTTCACTCAACTTCAGTTATTGTCCGCTGTTCTATGCTGCACAGCGGGTATTCTTTAATCACAGATGTATGATCAGGTTGTTTTGGGGTGTTGCCTAGTTATGCAATGTCCTCTTTCCTTTAAATGATTGGTATCTTCAGTCTGTTTTAGCAAAGGCTTTTTTTTTTAATAATTCTCAAGCATATATTTGTGCTAATTTTTTACATATTTTTCACAGTTAATGATAGGGTTTGAATGCAGTCACATGTCTATAGCCGAAAAATTGCCAAATGTAGGAGCTATGAATGCCTATGTTTGCAATTAAATTCAACTAAAGTGGAAATGGGAAATCAAAAAAAGGAAGTATTATGGGAGAAAAAGTGGAATTGGACTCTTGTAACTTGCCAAATTTGGAGAAATCGAGTGTGACTGACCGACCGACACTTGGCTTTTATGATTATGATTGTGGTGACTTTTACATTTTTTCATGATAATGTGATTAAATGACAGTAAAAATAGTGTAATTTAAAACAAGGAACTTAAGTATATTGAAAAATTTTATTTAGATTATAAACAACAGGCTAACTAGTGATGTAAACTAGTGCATCGGTTGTCCACTGTTTCTGTCATTCGTGATTTTTTGCTTTCCCTGGACCAGTGTGATAATCGAGGCACCAATGTATATTTATTTACTTTCACAGCAATGAGTGCGTGCTAATGTTTGATAACAAACACTTGATAGTATTGCCTGAACTAACTGCCTTTGGTCCTGTGAGTCTAAACATGTGTACTAATTGGTTGAATTGAGAGAAAAAAGAAAACAAAATGGTGCAAATTTTGTAACATTTTGCACAACTGAAGTTCTTCATTCCTGAATAAACATTAAGTGCTGAATCTGCCATTAAAATCTTAGAAACAAAGTTTGATTTAGGATTCAAAGAATGCAAAAATAGTTCTGCACTTCCAAGAGTCCAGAATTGTAGATTTGAGATCTAATTTGCATAGCCCTGTGCACAAATAAAATGGGAGAAAATACTAGGCACCACTATGAAAGTTTTAGTCACCATGGTCCCTGAGATTTGTTTAAGCCTGAATTTAGCTGTTATTAATACAATTTTCTAATCAATGGTTTCTCATTATTGTTCAACTATTGCTATTAAACCATGTTGTTCTATTTATCCTTTCTTATAATTTGTTTGCTTTGTACATCTTTTATTTTACCTGTTTATGTAATTTTCTTTGCCATAACTCTCAACACAGGCTCGTAACCATTTTGTGCTAGTTATAGTTTTTATGCTATAACTTTTAAATTAATAAGCATATGTTAACAAAATTTGGCAGATTATCAGTAAACATTACAGTGCTTTCATACTCAAAATATTATTTGTTTTATTAAGTCTTAAGGTTTGTAAAGCTATGTTTTTCTCACTCCCTTTTTTTTCTTCTTTTCACGTGTTGCCTATCCAACATGCAAAGTAATTTTCATTTTAAGATTAAAAATACTTTTATGCATCAGAAAATTTTCATATTTAACTTGTGAAATCTTTATAATGTCCAAATAGTTATCAAATGTTTCTTAAGAAAACGTACATTTTATCTGTTATATTCTGTAATGAATCTCTGTATGGGTTTAGTCGATTTGACCGATCTCATCACCATGTTAAAAATTAGGAAATAAATATAAATTATGCCTTTTTTGTTCTATAATGACTACAAATTATAACACAAAAACATAAATGTTTAGACTAAATAGCTTAAATTTCAACACTGTACATTTATATATATTTATTATTTTTATTATATTGACCTTTCAGCCATGCCTGGCTAACAATACAGAAGTTACAATGATGAGATGCACGTGCACTCATGTTACCATATCCAATAATATAAAACTGACCGTTAGTCTTTACAAAGTGACCCATCTTGGCTGTGTTTTAGTAAACTAGTATTTTGTAAAATACAGTCACATTTCA